GCGGTCTGGTAACACAGCCAAACCCCCAGCCCGTTCCCGGGCCCGACCAGAGCGCCTGCACAGGCCCAGTCCTGCTGCAGCTCCAGACGCTTAAGAAAACACCACCAGGCCTGGCTCCCGGCCCCTCCTCGTAAATCACGCAGACCTCCGAAACGTAAGCTCGGAAACTCTTCCTCTCCGGAGTCAGCCCTGGAAAAGCACTGCGACTGCAGTCTGTCCTGACGATTGATGGATTAATAGGCTTCAGTATGAGCCTGACAAGAATGGACTAAAATGAGAAAATCCGCATTAGAGTGTAAATAAATGTCATAATTCAGAAGTAGAAAAAATACCTCCAGCTATTTGTGTCTCGTACAATTTAACTTAACTGTCGAACTAGGACAACACACACGTGACACTGTGCTGTAAAATTCATTTGGATGTGTGTGTTTTCCATCTGTGTGGCTCAGACAGAACATGATAGTCATTAATCCCCAAATCCTCAGTTACGTGGACATGAGTGCTTGCTGAGCAACAGAAGTAATGTTTGAAGAACAGATAAGAACAGCTCTGTGGATTTCCAAGTCGACAGTGCAATGCAGACCTGAGGATGCAGGCGTGGACTACAAGAAAATGCATCAGAGGTGGCACCTCTTTATACAAAGGGTTGTAGGAGTGGGGACCGATTTGCCCAATCAATACACTGTTTGTTTTGAAAGAAGCGGCTGGATGGGATCCTCAGATCAATTGGTTACTAACCAACCACCAGACAAGCCGGGTGGGTCAGATGGCCCCCTCTCAGATTCGTGACCTTATTTCCAAAACCCCATGTCCTGAAAGAACGTCAGGGCCTAGGCGAGCGTTGCAAAGCAAGGTGCAGTGCAGAGAGGGGCTGATTGTGGACTCGCCACTCCGAGAGGGAGAGGAGGGTCCGAGGAAGGCGGCTGGGGCCTGACCGAGCCTGATGAAGACGAGTCACCTGGCGCGTGTCCACAGGGTTTGAGAAACAGAATTCCGACGAGCCGGCGGGGGCTGGGGTGGGCAGGGTGGAGGATCAGAGGAAGTTGGTGACCCACAGTGGCCCAGGCACAGGGTGTCTGTGATCAGTCAGTGCCCTGCCAGCAGCTCCCATGGGCTCGAGAGACTGCTGCTGAACTCATCCTCGGCTGTCTACAAGCTAGAGATGGGATTTATCTTGTGTTCGTTCACAGCTGATTAATCACCCCACTCCTTTCA